CCCTTTGCCTGTGGGGCCGCTGAAGCAGTGGTCATGAGTCAAGCCAAAACCTCCTGAAGTGTAAATACTTCAGATTGGGCTCTTAATTCACAAAAATGTTAAGTTTTATTGAAAACTGGGCACTAACGTTGCAAGGTATGAAATTAAGACAATCAAATAAATGAGAAATGGGCTTTTAGGGAAAGCAGCATATGAACACCTTCACAATTTCAGTGACATTCAGTCTTTTTTTTTTTTTTTAATTTGCTAAATTTGCTAATTGAACAAGATGATGCTGCAGGCAGGCACAGCTCTTGCTGGCGAGGCTGGGCTGGAGAAGGCTTTGGACTAAGGCCATCCCTCCAGCACTGACAAACCTCACTCCTACTATCAGAGATGCTCTGTTGGGTACTTCGTCATCCCTCTCCTTTCTCCAACTCCTCCTTTGTTTCACTTTACCCAATTTTTCTTACATTATCGAGCAGAAAACAATCTACTGTTACATTACGATAGGATAAATGCAGCCCTACACTATACATTCATACTTAAACTATCTCATTCTCATCTCCTCAGCTGATAATCTTTTTTTCATTATTACAATTCAAACATTTACCTAAAACTTTAAATGAGTTTTGTGGATATCTCCTCCCACTACAGATAACTCAAGAGGGTTTCCTCTCCTGACAAATGACCCTGACCACTGTTGGGAAACCAACCAGCAAGATTTTAATCATCCCCGAGACTTATGTTCCATTTGCTGAAGATCCATGATGAAAGGTTGGTGATGATCTTACATGGCACAGAGCACATAGGGAACAGATTTATTCTCCATTTTATATTACATTATATTCATAGTGTAAAAAGTACAAAGAATGTCTTCAGTCTCCCTAAGTAGAGCTAAAAACTTGGGCCAAAACTGAAGTTTAACAAGTATGACCCCTTCATACAGTCACAAATGCAACAGATACATTCAAAATAGCTCAGAGACAAAAGCAGGGACTTCAAAAAGGAAGTGATTTGCTGATGAACATACATGTATAAATATGTTCCCTTTATTCAGGGTGACAAAAAAAAATTATCTACTGCATGCATCTGAATACTTATGAAACTGCATCTGATGAACACAATTTCAAATTGAAAAAAGCACATAGGAAACTTAAAGAAGAACTCAAAGATTTTTTAATAATCCAAAATGGGTCCAAGCAAACCTATTAGACAGCCAGACATTTTGAGTTTTCATCTCAGCACTAAAACAGTATCTTAATGCTGTGTTGCTGCTCTTCATTAAAATCAAAACCAAGTTCTACATTTTTTTGTTTTAGCACTTAGGATAGGAAGAAAATGAATTAAAAGAAACCCACACAGATTTTAAGAGAATACTGAAGAAGAAATTAATTTATCAAATTAGCAATATGCAGTGGCACTTCAAAACCCCAGAGAAACAGAAAGGATGCCTGCAGGTTACTCCTTATGATACCAAACAGAGCAAATCCAATCAGATGAACATGCTGCAGGATCAGTCAGGCGAAAGCCACAGGAGCCGCATTACAAAGTGAAAGATGTATAAAAAGAGGATTTTCTAAACCTATTGTACTGGCTTGAAACCGAGCTATTCCCCCCCAGAGGAGATGACAGCATTGCTACTATGGTCCTGAAGAACAAACTGTCCAAAAAACTCCTCAAAGACAACTCAGAGGAAAACTAAAAAAAAAAAGTTTTAATGAGAAATTAAAAATACTACTAGAATGTTAGGTCTGCAATATTGCTTTTAAAAATAACACATCTCCATTCAAAACCCTATTTCCTACACAGCATAAGCAAACTGTTACATTTTACCATGCTATTTCATAACTTCTAGGTTTTAATGGTGCCATCATAGCTCCCTGCTTCACATTTCCCTTTGCTTAAAATAACTGTCTATGGCAAGAGCACTGACCTTCAGGAATAAGTGAATGAATGAGAAAGCTGGCACGCCAGCACGCGACCAAATTGAAAACGATGACAGCAGTTATTTCAGAGCACGGAGATGAACAGAGGGAAGAATACAATTATCTACATGTAAAATACTGAGTGACAGTGGCAGCAGACAGGAACTTCTGTTTGCCCAGTCTTGTGAAACAAGAATGAGCTGGTGCTCAAAGGAATAAAAGGACAGTGAATAAAAAACCCAAAAAAAGTATGTTGTTTTTTTTTCTCAGACAGCAATCAACTCAAGATGCTACAGAAGCCAACCGCTTCATCATGATGGAAACTCATTACTTGCTTTTAAGATAAAATGACCATCAATCCACATGAAAAGGAATAAAATAAAAAATACAAAGAAAAATATTTCAAAGGAAAAATAATATGTTAAAAATATTTCAAATGAAAAACAGTATTTTAAATACTTCAAAGAAATCTTTTAAATATTCAAAAATATTTCAATACTACATGCTTGAGCAGAAGGTATCACCTAATTATCAAGTTACAGTGTTTTGCTAGGAGGTACAGTTAACCCTCCTCTGAGAAATCTGCTCTTGGTATTTGTAAGTAGTAGGATGGAGTGTGATGGACTACAGCTCATACACTGTCTGTTGTTATTTTATTTATATATATAGGTTTATATATATAAAAGCTATTTTATAGTATGCATATATATGAGACACATCAAGCTTATATAAACATTTATTTTCAAAACCAGGCTCTCAAAACTGTTACAGAAATCATCATGCCAAATAAGTACTGAGTTCCCACCTTGCCACACCTGCGGTTTCTGGCAGTCCCACAGATTGTGCAGGACAGGATGTACCAAATAAAACATAATTTTGGTTTTCTTGGGTTTGTTTTTTCTTAGAAAATGTGATATTTTTGACAATTTAATCTTGCTAAAGAGCCTTGAAAGCTGAAAGAGAAATTCAAGTCTGTATCTACTGCAGCACAAAGTAGAAACATCAACTATTCACATGAAAACATACTCATAAGGAAATGCAGATGGAAAATGCAACCCCACAAATCACCTCATTAGCAATACTGTGCAGCCACCCTGCAGCATCTGCTGGGTGTGAGGGACCAGACTCGATGGGTGTTTTTCCCTGGGAAGACATTCAAGCAGTGGAGTAGGTGGGACCGGCACATCCATCCTTGGGAGTTTCTGAAGCCCAATGGGTTGAAGCTCAGCGGTCCCTCACCTGATCTCTGCTTTGAGCAGAGGTTGGACTACGTGACCTCTGGAGGTCTGTCCTTTCCAACCAGGATCCTACTATCAAGACAGACAGCAACCTGCGAGCTGCCTCCTGTTAACCCTTTTTAATGCCACTAGACTGCTTCAGACACCTTGCTATGTGACACTGGAATAGCAGCACAAGTAATTATGCTGAGGAAAGCGAGTCACACTTCAACGAGGCAGTAACCACCACTGCTCCCCCAGCCAGCCTGTCACACAGGCTGCCAACACACAAGCTGCAAACACTTCTCTTGGACAACAGTTTTCATTCCCCAGCTCCCTCAGCGACCTACTTACAAGTCCTAAGGTTGTTTGCTGTTGAAATGCATATTAAACTCAGAACAAACAAATTAAAAAATGCATCTTTTTTCATCCTAGGTCCAGTTTTTTTTTTATTTGATGTTTAAAAATGCTCCACAGTCAATCACATTTCAGAGGGCAAAGACGCCTAGAGATGCTAAACAGAAACTCTGTGCACACACACATTTTAATGTGGGTATCTGGAAGAAAGACTTGGGGCAGAGCCCACTGCGGGAAAGCTCTTGGGACAAGGCAGAGGAGACAAGGTCCAGGCTGACCAAAAAACAAGCAATTGGTGCATTTTGTTTGTTTATTTGCTAGTTAGCTCATACTGTTCAGAGTAGTCAACTTCCAATGCAATGCTTGGACAACAAAATAAATGTTTGGCAAATCTAGTTAAAAGTGAAACAGAGAAGTGACCCATGGCATTTCCTTGCAGGAGCCTGAATTTCCATCATAGGACCCTTCATTAAGATCTGACACTTTATATTGAACTTGAACAGTTGTAAAGACCTCTTTACACAGGCACAAAAGCAGTATCCAGCTAACTACATCTCACTATACCAGGGGTATTAGCTATCCCAACTCTCCCTCTGCCAGGAAAAGGGACTGGAAGGCAGCAGTCTCTCTCAAAGGGTGTTTAGAAACTGCTATGTCTGGTGTCAAGAGCAAGCATTACGTGCTTACCAGAAACAGCTACTGGCAATAAAATGTGGGTATTCAGGGGACTTCAGTGCCTGAATCATGTTACCTCACATAAGCAAGTGGCACAGTGGCTTTCCAAATCGTGACTTAAAGTTCCTGTTATTAAGCCTGAGAGGAGGAATCCCCATGGTTTGGCTCCTAACAGCTGCAAAAAGCATCCACGTTGCTTCCCACCCTGCGTGGAGGTATCTGACCTGACAGATTGGCACAGGGAGCCCCAAGCCTGAGCCAGCCCCAGCACCCCCCACTTGCCGCCACTGCCAGATCCACCTCCGGGAACCCTGCGCATCCATTTCACACATCCCACAAAACACTCCCCCAGAGAGGCATCATCTTGTGCACGACTCTTCACACTTCTCTCCTGCCGCCAGGCATGATGCTGTCTGAAACTCATCTGCCACCAAAACATCATCACCTGGGATGAGTCAGGATCCAAGATCCTCAGCACTTTGGGGTTGCCACCAACCCCTCTGCTTCCCTCCTGCTGTCGAGTCCTTCGACTTCAGGACAAGTTTGTGTATGTAGACCTCACCTCAGCCAAGTGCTCTGAGGTCTCAGCAACAGAGACTGAACCTCTCTAGTGCTCTGCCATGTCACTTTAATTCCTCTTCCTCATCTCGTTAAAACTCACGTTGTTGCAATTATTCCCTGAGTAGCCAGCAGAGCCCTTGCTCTTGGCCAACGTTTTACAGCTGTCAAAAGCAAAGATGCAACTTCTGTGCTTGGAGAAAGCAAGAATGTCTCCTTGCAAACCTTGGCAGTGTCCGCCCCACCACCCAGCCAGGAAGGCTACCCAAGGAAGAGGAGGTGTTACCTGGGTGAGGTGCGGGTTGGGGTTGAAGCCGCACTGGTTGCAGACTTTGCTGTGACACTGGGTGCAGGCGTTGAAGTTCGGCTGGCCGGGGGAGGAGGTGAGCTCTGTCGTCTTGCATATGGGACAGAGCGTGCTGCTGGGGAGGGGGGCGATCTGCGGGAGTGAGTAGGGAGAGGTAGGGGTGCTGCCCCGGTCTGGCGACACCGAGGGAGACCTCCCCGAGCCCTGGCTCCTGGCGTCCACCTGCAACATCCTCCGCGGTCCCTCCGCCGGCGGTCCGGGCTGGCCTCGGCCCCTCATCTCCCGCGGGCTCTGGGAGCTGGGTGCAGTCTGTGCGAGGGAGGGGGATGCTGACCGCTGGCCCGGGGCCTGATCCAGCTGCTCCGGTCTCCTCGGTGTGCTGAAACACCAGTAAAAATACACATAATAAGCCCAGGTTTAGGACATTCAAAAGATGCCAGTCAATGTAGAAAATACCCAAAGCACCCTCTCCACCCTCAAAGCCCCAGCTCAGCCAAGGGGGCACAGCAAAACCACACTGTGAACTGGGGAAATTGTTGAGATCAGCAAAAGGATACACTTTACCTTATGAAATGAGGGGCAATTTCAGCTTTCTCTTATATAACCCAGCAGCAGAGACATAATTGAATTATTCAGTGTATTCCAAGTTGAACTTTAGTCAGAAAGTTGCACATAAAATGTAAATGAGAAGTTTGGGGTAGCTCAGCCTCCTGCCACCCAAGAGCTAGCTCCCCATTAGCACTTCTCCAGCACAAACTGGTGCTCAAAGAGGCAGCAGCAACTCTGGTTTGCAGACTGCAAGGGCCTCTGCTGCAGGGAGCCAGCCAATGTGTGCTAAACTATCTTCTCACAACCTACTTTTATGAGTTGCTGTGAAACAAAAAACTGCAAGGAGGCCTATTTATTGAAGGAAAACCCCTACAGAAGCCCAAAGGAGGAAGGCGAACTACTTATACTTTCTTGACTGTCAAGCTGCCTCTGTGCAAGTCACAGGTGAAAGCAACTGAGGGCTTGTTTCCCAGGGGCCACAGCAAGGGGAAATTAAGAAAGAGGGCATCAGCTCTGCTTTAGTAGTCATTACTAAAGTGAAAAGTGTGGGGAACTGGGGTTTGTGTGGGCTGGCTTTCCCCCAGCTGAACTCTCTTCTGGGTGATGTGAGTCTTTGCTGGGCAGAAAACCAGATGGGATGCATCGAGTTGCCAGGACACGTCTGTGAAACCCCAGCTACCCAGAAGGCGCAATCCTGAGGTTGGCATCGCACCTGCTGATGGTCAGGCAGTAGTCCCACAGTCTGTGTAGGGTACTCTGCAGCGTGTGCTACCTGCCACCCCAGAGCTCAGGGAGAGGGTACAGTGGCCCCAAGCAGCTCTGGGCAGCCTCAGCTGAAAGATCTTTGAGTCCTTGTGTTGGAGAGCATGGCACAAGATCCTGCACAGCCCATCTCCCATGTTATTTCAGTGCAGGGACCCTGCAGTGTGCTGCTGACCGACCACGAGTGCATGAGAATGAATCTGCAACGGAAGATGTTTCTGTAATTACAGAATAATTTGGTGCACATCGTGATCAGTAATGCCCACAAATATTCTCAAAAAAGCAGAAGCCCTAATGCCCTTACTCCTTTGATCTACAGCTGTTTAAGATAAAAAATATTACTCAGAAACTCAAATTTAATAAATTGTTGATTTACCCAAGCAGGGTCTGACCTTATAAAGGTTTAAAAAGGAAACTTAAATGCATAAAACTAATGAAATTCAAAGTGCATGTTGCCACAGTAATAGGAAGTCGGATGAAAATAAATATTAAAATAGCACTTGGGGAATATTTTTCAGCTACAGATTGAAACCCACTTCTCTGAAGGAGGAATTGCACCATAATAATAATGCAAAGCAATAAGGAATAACTGATCTGCTCCAGACTAAAAAGCAAACTGCTCCTCGCTGTGCAGCACAACACCTGCAATGTGTCATTTGCACACCTTGCTCCTCCATCACAAATACTGATGCCTTTGAGTTCAGAAATGGGATTTGCCTCCTGATGCTGAGGGCTGCAAAGCTGCTGCCCCATAAAACATGTGGCATCTGTACCTGGTGGAGAGGGGAGAGGTCAGTCCCAGACACCAGCAGAAAGTACTGCTGGAAAGCAAAATGCATTTTTGCTCCTTAAGTTTAATTCTTATAAAAACAGCATTTATGTATTTGAAGACATCTATCTTAATGGTGTATTAAACAACATTGAAATAATATTATTTGAAAAGACTAATGTATATATGGTCAAATAACTTTTTTGGAACAAGAGAATGGTTATTCCACTGCAAATTTCAAAGTTCAATTTTTTTTTTCCCTATTTGATATGCAAAAAGTGTTTGCCACCAAGTGGGAATTCTGACTCCAAACTGGCTCTGACCACAGAAATACCACTCAACTATGGTTTCACTTCCCAGCTCAGCTGAGAAACAGAAAAAATTTACAGCAGCTACACACAGTATAAGTGTTTAGGAGTAGATTAGTAGTTACCACCTATTTTTGCAGCTGGTATTAGTAGTACTAGCAGTCTGGCTTGCTTACTTCAAGTACCTTAAAAAAAGAGTGAATTTTTTGCTTAGTGTATTTTTTGCAGCAAATCAATGTGAGGAGTGCCGTACCTCTGAAGCTGTGCTCCATTAAGAGGAGCTGTCACACAAGGCACAGACAAGTTCACTATGTTTCCTACCCAAAACAGAGTCTGTGGCTCTCTTGAAAAAGCAAAGACCCATGAGAAAAAAATACACAAGGTGCTGTTATTTTGCCTTGAACATCATTCCTGATGCAGAAGAGGGAGGAGGGCAGTTGGGCACTTGCTGCCCAGCGGGACAGTGCTGCTTCTAGAGATGCTCGCCCAGCCCAGGATGGAGTTCACTCCCAGCTCCCTCCACCTTTCCATGTGCAAAGAAACGCCACGCACCAAGTCCATCCTGCTCCCAGCCATGGTTTCACTCTGCACTTATCACTACATTTATTTATTTCATAGTTATCCAAGATGTCCCGGCCATCTCGTGACATAGTCTGGACTGTCTCTCACTTTCATCAGTTGAACATGTCCATGAAATTTTAAGACCAGAAGGAATCATCAGGTCTGTCAAATACATTAACTAAATGCAGGAGAGATGGCCCAGGAAAGAACAAGAGAACAGTGATACTGAGTCAGGCACAGGCCCACACTCACACCTTTTGCAGGGATGTTCCAAAGTTTGTATGTCTCGCATCCATCTACGAACCCTTTTGTTGTTGTTACAAAAGTCCAAACTGTTGCTCATCTACTTTTTTCCATGCAGCCCTCTTTATCACTGATAAATATATTAACTAGGATCGGGCTGCAAACCCATCACAAAGAAATTTTCCCCAATGCCATTAGATCGCTCATTAACAATTAGATTGAGCTGTCTTGATAAGGCAGAATTTCACCCGTTTGATGGGGGCTGTATTGATTTTGTAACGCCCTAATTGTTGAATTAGAAATACTGGGTGATGCTTAAACATCTCTGCAGGGTCCAAATTCAGTAGTGCTCTCACAGTTACCAACAGAGTTGTAATTTTGTCCAAGTAAAGAATATCAAGTGTGTTTGACTAAGTTTATTAACAATTATACTGTCAAGGTTTCCATTTATTATATTCTGCCTATTAATGCTTTATCAACAGAAGGTCAGGCAGGGAGCTCTATTAATCTGCCCACAACCACCAGCACATTTGGCAGCTGGGAAGATGCCATTTTCTTCCTCTTCTTTTAGTTTTAAATTGAAAATGATGGCTTTCTTCTTGCTTTCTAAGACTTCCTCCATTTTCCACATAAAGCCAAGATGGTATCAAACCGAGCCACAACCAGCCTCCTGCACTGGTGTAGCCCAGCCAGCCAAACCAATGCCCACCATCAGCCCTCTGCTCCTCCACCTCTTCCCCAACCTTCTCCAAGTCTGCTGGAGCTTGGCTCTGACTGTCCTCTGAACAAAGGGCATCGAACCAGCCACATCAGCTCACAGCACCAGCCTCTGCTTTCTGCAGGGAGGAATATGGCATTTCACCATCAAGAAATACGTGGGATAGTTGCATGTCCACAACATTGGAAGCCTGGGTTTCACTCCCAGCCCTGCAGTGTATCCCTGCCACCTCTCTCACCTTGCCTACACAGTGAAAGAAGCATCTGCCCATCTCCCAGTGTGAAGCATTGCGAAACACCCACAAAAATTAACCCTCAGCTCCATGCAAGAGAGGAAGTTAAACTGTAAGGTTGCTTGCCATGTAGCCCAGAGCTAAAAATCACCCTGAGAGATTAATCTGTACCCTGGCCTGCTTCTCCGTCAGATACTTCTCAAGATTAAAAAGGCACAGAACTTCCCTTGTTCCACTTGGGAACAGGCATGGATATGAAACCAGCCTTTCTATTTAGGGCTGGTGCTTACGTCCTGGCAGGCTAGGCGGAGATGGAGAAAGACTAGAAGGGAAAAAGCTGACTGAGATGATCAGAAACATGAATGGCGTAATGAAGACCGATGGTCAAAGCCACAAAATTGAGCTCAGCAGTGTAGGATGTCACAAGCACTACTGATTTTTTATTTTTTCCCTTCCGTAAAAATAACAGTCTTTCATTGAAATAACAAGAATTGGGAAGCTTTAAAAACAAAATCCTATTTATAGGCAAAACAAATGTTAGCCTGGTTAATGTTTAATTTCAGAAAAAAAAAATATTTGTCCCAAACCCAACTTCTGATGGCATTGGCAGTGCCAGTGAAAAGATGTCAGCAGTTTTAGGAAAGCTGAAAGCAATACAGTGACGCAATACCAGTTTCCAATCCTGTTCCAGTAAACTGGTACAGCCTTCTTATTTGGGAATTCCTAGGTAAAGTCAAGGCCTGTAGAAAGGTACTGATCTAATTTAACTCAAGTAGGTTCATTGGTGTCCCTAAATTTTACAGACAAGACCCAAGCTTGGAGCCAGCCTCCCAACAGATGTCAATGGGTCTTTTTTCACACAAGATGCTAATTTGGGAGCAATAACCATTGCAAGGTAAATGCCAACACCGTTAATATCTTTGCTATAAAATCAAGTAATAATGATAGTACACAAAATGTACATGCATGCATTGGTCTTGTTCAAGGTATGGTGTGTGGAAAAGTTCAAGAGAGAGCATGTGCATTGGTTTTCTCCTAATTTATTGTTTTTCTCCTAATTTCGTGTTCCCCCCTTAAACACACTGGCCACATCCATCTGCTCAGCTGCTGCCAAACCCCCAGCAGTGCTCATATCCACAGGGGCTTGGGATTTCTGGTCCAAATAAATCCTTCAGGAGATGCAGCCCTTTTATGCAACTGGGAAGCATGGATTGCATCCCTTTCTCTGTCTGGTGCCAACTGAAATGGGTCCCTGCTCGCTGGGCAACTGATATAATTACTGCATTATAGTATATAAAAAGAACATGAAAATAAATGGCACTATCACCATCATTTTACAAAGAGCACACCCTGCTCTGGCTTTCCAAAGAAGAGCTGGGTTTGTCCATGGAAGGGAGCTCTTAGCTTCACATCCATCTCAAAAATAAGCAAAATGAGGACAAGCAAGTATTTTCTATTAGTAGAAAAAGAGGGAGAACAAATGACTGGTTACCTGCAGTAAAACCAAGGGTATGAGAAGCAAACAAATCAAGATAAAGCATGAAAAGAGAGAAAATGTGTAGATGTTCACACCCAGAAGAGGGAGGCTGGGTTAATGAACAAGAACTAGAGCCGCTCAGCTATGAACAGAGATTTGACCTAGTTGGTTCGACTGAAACCTGATGTGAACATCCCTATGACTGATTTTTAGAATCACTGAATATAACATTTAGAAAAAAAACCTAAACAGATAGCTAAGCAAAAGGGCAGTTGCACTCTAGGTTTGACTCAGAAAAACATAATTCCTAGTGCTTACGGGTCAGCATAGGAACTGCGTGGGATAATACCAAATATTAGCTGGTACATGCTGCCTATCAGCAAGTCAGACTAGAAAATAGGGCATGCAACCTTTTAATAAATAAACAGAAAAAGACGTGTCTGATGTGGAGGGCCTCCGGTTTCAGCTACATGCACTGAAAATCTCACACTAGCCATGTGAAAACATCCACCGAGCTTGGGAGTTTTATCGGTGGCAGCTTTGTAGCTCTAAAAGTGCTACATCCAACACAGGGAATCCATATCAGGCTGCGACACGGGGAATCCATATCAGACTGCTCTGACAAAAAAAAAGCAGCAGTTACAGAATTCAAAATCAGCACCTACTTAAATCCAAGTGCCCCTAACTTAATTAAATTTATGTCCATGCAGGAAGAAGTTCATGCTGGAAATGTGTGTACTGGGTGGATTAAAACCAGCAAATGTCACAAAGCTGAAAACAAAATAAAAAACATAAAATGGTGACTAGAAACTGTCAGGGAGTATTTTATTAGACAGCAACACAAGCACTCTTGTGAAAGGCCATGGTGTTTAATGACGTGCTTTTGTGAGCAGTGGAAAAACCCTGTTCTCCTGCAGCTTTGTGCTCCAGGGTTGTTCATCCCTGTCAAATAGGATGCAGCTTCTGTCGGGCATTTTTTCCTGTCACCAAAATGTCCCTAATGTGCATCTCCTGATTCTGGGTAGTATCCCTCAGCTCCTCAAGGCTTTTACCCAGTCTGGGCAATCATTTGGGTCCCTAACTCCGTCCACATACCTGTTCTCATAAATACAAAGGAACATGATATCCTCGAGTCCTCTGCCTCCCCATTAAACCTCACTCGAGCTGGGGTTCAAGGAGGGGCTGCCAGGCAGGCGGTGGCACAAGCCACCTGCATGTAAGGCACCAGACTAATGACCTTCCCCAGAGGAACCGTGTCCTGGCAGGATGCTGCCACATGGCAAACAGGACTGTGATGCATGGCATGCCAGCTTCCTCCTCTGGCCCCTGGTTTTGCAGAAGATAACACACTTAGACCTCTTGCCAGCCTCTCCCTTAGTTTAAAATGCAAAGTTCTATGCAATCCACGAAAAGGTAACAAGAACCAGAGATTTTCCAGTTTACATCCACATTATAGGTGCGTGACTTGGTATACTGCAAAGTTAAGATTAGGAAAAGCCTCAGTCCACCACAAACCAGTTATTCTTCATCTTCTTAGCATCGTGTCTAGTTTGGCTGAGAATTAGCAACAGGCTAACACATCAATGTCACTCAAGCTGCTGTATGAAGCACGGCTGTTGTGAAGCATCTGCCATCTTATTAGCTGAATCCTATGTACCAAAAGAGGGTTTTATGACCAATTTAAGCTCTAAATAATCATTTACTTGCTTATTTTCATTCCCATGCACTGCCTTTTTGAATTTGTGAGTCATTATCAATTGCAGTTGGACTAGATGATTATTTCAGGTCCCTTCCAACTGAACCTATTCTATTCTATTCTATTCTATTCTATTCTATTCTATTCTATTCTATTCTATTCTATTCTATTCTACTCTACTCTACTCTACTCTAAATTTTGCTATGTGGCAAATAAATACTTAATTTGCACCTAACTTGGCCCTGGTTGAACTGAGAGCGATTTCCCTTACGGTGCTTTCCAACATAAAACCAGAGCAAGGGCTACTTATACCCACCAGCCCAGCATCCTCAAACTTCTCTCCAGAGAATCCCAAGATCTGACATCTACTAGTCACCCTATGTAGACCATGATGAACATCTACAACTGAATGCAAGGCAGCAGATCACCATAGAGTCCAGAGTAGCCTCTATGAACTCCAAGACCTGAACTGGAGTCAGGGGAGACTTTTGCACTGCTCCCACGAGCCCTTGCAAGCCAGAAAGTCACCAAGTGACCTGCAGACCACAACATGCTGCTCTGGGGAGCTGCTCTTTCAGCTGCTGATGCCTGAAATGCGCAGTCACCGCTGTCAGGATCTTGGCCAAGCCCCTCAGAGCCACCAGCAACTGGCATGACAGAAGAGCCTGCAGGTAATGAACTCAGTCCAATATATATCAAAGAGATTTCTTCTGAGATAGCTTTACAGGAGCTGGCACACCGAAGGTTGAAAGATTTGAACAGGTCTCCTTTTCAAGTAATATAACCGTTGCTGAGAACATTTATGATCTTGAACTTCAAAGCATTAAAATCTCTCGGGGATAAGTGGGGTGTCCAATACCCATTCTGCCTCAGCGTCAGGAAAAATCTGTTTCCTCTGTGATAGCAGAAAACTACATGTAAATCTTACAGAGACAGAGTGGAAGTCACTTCTTGACCGTGATGCAATTAGTGGCACAGCATAAGAGGAGCACTACAGCTAGCTGCTGAGAGCCAGGAGGGCGCAGATGCAAAGTGGCAGCCCTGGCTCTGCTGTGTTTGCAGAAGCACCGTCCCAGGGGTGAACGTGGAGCTACCAGAAAGGTCCATGGGATTTCTGATACAGCTTCTCTTATCTCTCTGGGCACCTAATAAGTACCCGGAAGATATAAAGCAAGGAGAAACAGTATCTCTTCCAGTGAATGGGTGCAGACAGTAGGTCAGCTTTGGACCATAGGTGAAGACCAGGCGTGGAGGGAAATGGAAGAAGAGGAGGCAGCAGGCACCCCAGCTGCTGGCTGCAAGGACACTGCTGAAGGGCAGGATGCTCAGCACACCTGCCCAACTGCAGGACTCCTTAAGTCCCCCCACCCGAGTCAAGCACACCAAACTCCACATTAATTCAGATGAACGCTGGGGGTGGCCATGCTCAGGGAATGATGCAGGCTGGACAGTAAAGTGGGCTGCTGCCCGCAGAGCTCCTCTCGTCTTTATTGCAGGACTTCGAAGGTCTGCAAGAAATGGTGAAGAGCCCTGCCACAGAGATATGGCTCTGCAACCAACGCCTGGGATCATGTAGAGACAGGGTGGCTGACATGGGGCTAAATATCCCCAGATGTCACAGTGAGGTGTGGAGCTGTCTCTTCAACCTGACTTCCACTTAGCTATTCAGTGTGTGGCCTCCATATCCTTCCCCAGTCCAACTGACAGCTGTGAGCAAGTCCCTTCTGTATGGTAAAAATCATATAATTTATGAAGGATTGTGACATTCTTGAAAATACTGTGGGCCAGAAAGGACATTTACAATGGGCAGAGTACCCCAGCCAAGGAGCAACTGCTTCCCTTGGCCTCCATCCACTTACATCTTAGAACTGAGCTCCAGCAATTAAACGGTAAAAGCTGATTGCCACAGCCACATTTAACTAAAGACCTTTTGTCCCAGTAAAGCTAACAGTTTGAATTATTGTGCTGTATTTATGAAATGCCAGAAAACCCAAAAGATAAACCATGAAGCTAAGGAATTTTTATGGCACATGGTTCATGAAAGCTTATCTTGTAAATCTATGATTATAAACTCCCCCTTGAGAGCCTCTCTGATTTTAATTGGCAGCAACACAATTTTTTGTTTAGGTTGTTAACTACTGCCTAAAGCAACGCAGAATAAAGCTACCTGCTCTCAACTTAGTCCTGCTACATGCACAGCACCTGCTTTGAGATACCAAAATTAATGACAAACTTTCATTAACAGTGACTGTAATAGACTCAGCTATTGCAGGACTGGAAAAACCACAGAAATACATGACTGTTATAATACTTAGATTTAAATGGGGGAAAAGGATCAGAAAAAAGTGAGAAAGTTTGTTAAAAAGAAAGTAAGAGCAGCAGGTGGAATGGTAAGAAAGGGAAGTTTCCATGGCACCTGTTAGCATATTAGGGCTTCAGGCAAAATGTACGATCAAGAAAGGGTTTAAGACATGGCCATAACAAGGCAACATAATTAAAGAGTGGAGCAAATAAGGCTACAGGAATAAAATGAAATCCTTCAAAAAGTAAAAATTCTATCTAGATGAGGAAAAAACAAACAAACAAAATTTTCACAAATTAAATTTAAAGACCTAATGAAGCATACAAAAAAGATCCCTGAAGGAAAAACTCATAAAGAGGGGGAAAAAATAAATTCTAAAACTTTACAAATAGGAAATCTGCCAAAGAATCTGCAAAACTGAAAGAAGACTGAAATGCAACAGAAATATTTAAGGAATGCAAGACTGTAAAAGAAAAGATAAATTGAACCTTTGCCTTGTTTGCTAAGGAGAAATTTATGAAGGTTCCCACACCAGAATCACTTCATATACAGGATTAGTCTGAAAAATTGTCTCAGTAGGATAAATTTTAGGTTAAAAATCTAAAAAGAAAGAAGGAAAAAAAGAACTAAAAGATGGTGAAATGAGGGGAAGCCTTCTTGTGGGTTAATATCCGAACACAATTTAGGACACCAAGGATAGAGGTAGCTGGTCAGGTTTTCACAAGCAGAGTTGCAAGACCCTGCCATGGGATAAATGGGATATTTTCATAAATGGCTTGGGAAGAAGAGGAATAATGAAGGGACAAGTTTTCTGAGCCACTCAAATTTATTCAGAGTATTCAAAGCTAAAACTGAATGCAAAGAGCTTTGGAAGGCTCTCCTGAAATGGGTGTCTTGAAATGCCATGGTAGGTGAAATCCAAGGTCAAGAAATGCAGAGTAATGCAGAGAAGATAAGACAACCATAGCCATGCTTAGTGATGGGCTCTAAATGAGATACTGCTACTCTGCAAAGAGTTCTTCAAGCCATTTTGGACAGTTCTCAGAAAATGTCAATTTAATGCTCATCAACAAATATAGAACGATCTACAAAAAAACAGACAATTAAGTTATTTTGGGAAAAATGCATTCTGGAAAGCAATTCAAAGAGAAGAGCAGAGACAGCCCATTCCCTTGACTTGCTTCTGGCTTTTTTCCTCCTCCCAGAGAGTGGCACAAAGGTCTGGTATTGCAAGGCTCCCTTTTGAGTTTCAGGCTTGATTCAGTCCAGGAGCTGGAGGGATTTCTGCAGCTGTTGGCCCACTGCGGGTAAGGGCTCCGATGCCGAGCAGTTTGCTGCTGGCAGGTAAAAAGGGTCAATCCCAGGGATCTGGCTCCTCCCGGACAGCGTTCACAGTCTTGTCCACATCACCCACGGGTCCCTGTGCTTCGACAAGACTTCCACCAGCAAGAAGTTGGTATTTGACCATTAAGAAGCTTGGGAAGACTGCAGGGCCATTTTTTTGGATGAGTTCCACCCATGCTCCAAAGTTAAAAGCAATGAAAAAAAATGTATCATTATCCATCTCCGTGACAGCTTGAGTCAACCAAACTCAGCCCAAAATGAGGAACAATTCCAGGCATAAAAACCAGGAAGATCCATCAGAAAGAGAAGTGCTGTTAAAAAAGACGAGTAATGACATACCAGAAAGAAACCAGCTTGTATTTTTAGAAAAAGGAAAGAAAAACCCAGTTA